ACTTCTCTAAGCGGTTGACCAATCACAACAGAGCTGACCAGCTAACCAATCAAAGCAGACTGGGCTCTGGTTTCAGACAGAGGGTGAAAAGAAGTGCTGCAGCACAGGCAGTATGAGAAACAAAAAGAGCTTTTTGAGCATGTCATGTGTGTTTTTTGCTATGCCATTCTACTTGTGTGTGAGCTTCAGTGAGTGTGTGTTACTGAGCAGGTGCTGCCTATTAGCAGATTGGCTGCCTCCTAATGCCTGATTGGTCCACCTGAAGGCACCAGACTATTTGAGCTGCAGCAAGGCAGTCCTTCGGCCCTCTCTTCCATCTCTTCTGCTCCAAACAGAGTCAGCATAGTGTGTTTTCATGCCCCTGTAAATCTGTAGGCCTGTGTAGAAATGTTGATTATTGTATTAAGTAGTTTTGAACCTTTGTAAATATTCTGTTTTGGTGACAAGCTTTTGAGTTTAAAATAGGAGTGAAATCCTGTTTTCTCCTGTTTGTTTGGTAGGAGTTAGGTGAGAAGCCTGTATTTTATTTATTTTGTTAGGTATAGTTTAGGGTCCTTTTGTGCAGACGTCTTGTTTGTTATGTTGGCTTTTTCTCTCCTCAGAAGCATTAATTAAACTACTATAACGGATTTTCATTGTCACTGACTATTTCTTGGGTGTGGGAATCATACTTGCCAACCCTCCCGATTTTCGCGGGAGACTCCCGATTTCATAGGCCTCTCCCGGTTTCCTCCCGGGGTCATATTTCTCCCACATTTCTGACAAAAGATTTACTCAGGACTGTTTCCACCCGGACTTTAATACAGCTACACCATTGTTTGGTTTCCATGGTAGCGCGTCTCTTTAGTAGCGCGCAACTGAAAGTCTGAGAGGGTGAGGGAGATAGTCACAGAAAACTGAACAAGAATTGACAACTCGACCCTCTGCTCACTCCTGTCCTGCCCACACATATGCTCCATCAAGGATGGTGCTACAGGCAGCAAGACAGTGCACTTACAACTACAATGCATGTTAATGTTGATCTAATACAGCTCCGGCGATCCACTAGCACCCCCCCCCGGTGGTTTTGAAAATGCTCCCGATTTCTGAGGTCTCAAGGTTGGCAAGTATGGTGGGAATAGTGGGGAGTGCACATTTGTATGTTATGTCTAAGTTCCCCTAGACCGGGTCATAAATGGGGCGAAGCCTGCGAGCTAGTTCAGGCAGTCAACTCGAGCACTTATGCTGCATTCATACATAACGCCCCCTTGCCACTCAACAACCAACCAAACAGAGTCTCCTTAATATGCCGCTCTATTTAACCTGCCAGAGCTCTCTCCATGCATTGTAGCGATGGGAATTCAGGCTCTTCTTGGTGAGCCGGATCATTTGGCTCCCAAACGGCTCTTCAGTTTACCACATATTATACCTTTTAATTCAATCAAATGTAGCCCTGTTTTGACTAATGATTTATATGTGTACACATATATCACTTAAATTATTCAATACATCCTTTGTACTGAAGTATTCAAAAGTAAAAATTACATGTTTAATATAAATGATTTGCTGTGGCTAATTGTTTTCATTGCATTTACAGACCTGTGTAACTCTCTGATACCACCCAATGAATGCATTGACTTGCTTGTATAACCACGCTACACAAAAGTTAGAAAAACACCTATAAAAACTATTTAAAAAAAAGGGGCTACTGTATCGACCTATATAAAGTATATAAATATATGGTTTTTTTTTCAAAATACCAAAAAGATCCTGCATTTTAGCCATGCCTCATTTTGCTCCATTTGCTCTTGCCAGCCCTGTTTTTGCAGGGGGCTGATTCTGTGAGCTGCAGCTGACCACGCCCCCCTGCAGGAGAGGGGAGCGTGCTTTGAGATCAGCTGCTAGGCTGCAGCGGGGAGAAGAGGGGGACAAAAAGAGATCTCCGTCCTCCGTGTTTTATTCTTATAGAAGTAATGGGGCAGAAACTCTCCTTTTTAGGCAGCCGTCCAGACATAGACATCAAACGGCGACACATATTCAGTTGCCAGTTAGTTTGGCATTAGGGCAGGGATATCTAGATACTTTCCAAGGTTTGACATAATGAATTGTATTACTTTTAAAGCAAGCAACGATGTTTTCAAATCTGTAATCAAAAAGCTCCTCAAAAACACTATCGAAGCAGTTCCTGCCGTTGGTACGTTAGTTCAAACAGTAACAACGGACTATCTTAGCGGATGCATGTCAATTTAAATCAATACATAAAACTATTTTTTAAATCAATAAAATCATTTTCTAAATCCATAAAAGCATTTCAATTAATATTGGGAGTCATGTCGTTACTTTTTTGAGAATGTGGCCATGTAATAAGCGGGGAAATGTGCACATTGCATAATGTTCCTTCATGCCGATCTAGATCCCTCCGCAAAAAACAAAACCGGCTCGTTCGCGACCGACACATCACAGAATGCATTGCTTGCTGCTGCTATTGCTGCAGCTACCTCTACGTCGCTGCTGCTTGCTGCGTTCATTTGCTATTGCTGCTGTGTTTCATGTTGCTGCTGCTTGCCTGCCGGTGCTGTCCTTGCAAATGTCTATTGCAATCTCCGACTCTGGAACCGAATCATCATACGCAAGAAGCCGTAAGAAATGCCTCATTCCCGAAACACAGGCTAGCGGAGAGCATGGTTCAGACGCCGCTGGAATGAGCCACAGCTCCCGCACGACACACATTCAGGTGTCCCTTCCGTCCTCATCTGGAGTAGCTTTTAATATCCTTTGGGCCAGAGGAAGTCCCGATTTCTACGCCAGCTCCGGTAACAACTCCTCTCTTGTGTGTCAGCTAAGAGTCGCACTGTCTCTCGGTCGGTGGGTATTTAAACACCAAAAAAGGCAGGAGCAAGATGACTCCGGCATTCCCAAAGTACCTGCCATCCTGTCCTACCTTCTCGAAGTAAAATCAGCGCTTGAAGCCTTTAATTGCACGATATATTCCCGTGAACAAACTCGATTTCCTCTACCTGCAATGTCAACAAATGTTTCTACTTCCGCGTTCAACCACGTTGTGCCGCTGACGTCACACTCCCGAGGATTCTGGGAATTGGAGTCCCAGATCCAGCCACGAGTTCTAGCTTCCTGCCTCCTGCAGCAGCAATAGGCTACATGCACAGTTACTTCCGCATTCTACTCATAGCGGCCGATTCATTTCCTGTTTGAAAATGACGACCTTCTACACCCGCTGCCTACAAGAGCTTCCGAAATTAAAAATGTCAGATGTTCATCGGATTTGCCGGACGACTAAAGCCCCAGCCAGCAAACTCGATAAAGGCTTCAAATGATATGCTGCGTCATATATACACAACTATGAAGGTAAGAAGGTAACCGGTTTGATTGATTGATTGAAAAGTTTATTAACAGCTTGTATATTGGGTACAGTACAGTACAGCTCAAAACATACAATTGTTAAGGGGATGCAGACTAGAGAAAGACTTTCGTCTTGTTTACATCAGGGTCCCCCATTTCCAATTCATCATGTCATTTAAGACATATAAGACATATTTGACATACAGATGGCTTATTTACAATTTACATACAGGTGTTTTTTTACATACAGATTGCTTATTTACAATTTTCATTTTAGATTTCGTTCTAATACATCCTAACCGGACATTTAAGACATACCAAGTATACAGATATACAGTTAGCAACAGAGTCTAAAATGCGAGTATATACATAGATGGGGGGGGGGGGGGGGGGGGGGGGAGAAGCTGTCCATTGAACGACAGGTTGAGATTTGTACCATTACCGGGGCCGGTACTAACCAGCTAGCTTATGCTCCGGGTTACGCTAACATTAGCTGTCAAAAGCTAGGTAACGCCAGAGCCCTATAGTATAACTACTATTATTATTATTATTATACTACTACTATAGTAGACTACTATAGGGCTCTGGGTAACGCTATGTACTGTTTCTGGTGTTAATTATTTAAAACATTAGCCATTTTGCTAACAAATACTATCGTTTAATAGCCTTATAGCCTAGCCAAGGTTATCTTGTTGTTAGCCACACTGCATAATGGTATCAGCTTTTGTAAAGCAATGTTGCCATAGATGTTTTGACGTGAGTATAGATCTAACGCTGTTGCTCTGTTTTTCTTCATTCAGTGTCCAATAAAGACAGGCTGACAGGGCAGGTCAGCGTGAGAGCCTTGTGCTACAGGTCAATGCGGAAGAGCGAGACAGCGCACAGTTTGAGTGTAGGCAGGCAGCATTGACACTGTTCCCCCCTGTTTATTGAGTTTCAGTTCAGTTAAACATTAGTTTACCTTAAGGGAATCTCAACAGTGTCCTACTTCTCCCTGCTTTATCACAGCTGATTGGTCAGATATTATTACATTGATTATGGATGTGTAAGTTTGGGGGTTCAAATATATAGTCAAAACTGCTTTAATACAATTTTCAAGGCATCTTAGTTTCCAAAGAAAGTTTATTGTGGTATTGTAGGGTAAGAGGGTAACACTAAGCATTCAGGAATACATGCTTCTTCTAGGATAATGGGTCAGTAAAAATAACCAATAATTCTACTCATAATAACCTCCTGGCTCATTTACCACAAGTGAGGTTACTAATCACTCGTATTTCTTCTCCCTTTTTTAGATAACGCTTCGTGATTCATCACCAGTGGTGCTCACGCACAACCAGTGCTCCTGTGTTGCAGGAACTGTTTTGTGCAATCACACAGTAGCATTGCTGTTCCAAACAGCACACTACACTGAATGTGCTATATTGTCTTTGCCATTCTTTGTAGGAGTGGATTCTACAGAGGCATGGTGGGGCCATTACCAGATCCCTGCCTGTTCAGAGTTACGGAGGCATACTCAGCATTCAGCATTGAAGACAGGCCGCTTGTGACCACAATGAACATGAGACCTGACAAGCCCCTTGTGGAAAGTGCCTTTGGGATGGTGCAGGAGGGCAGTGTTCTGTCCTATCAGATGCCTGCTTTGACGTCTCGGTAGACCACACTTCACACTGACACACCACCAACACCCCACTTGCCCATAGAGGGGTATGTGATCTTGCCATGTGATTTACCGCTGGTGTGCTCAGAAGAGGAGCAACTACATATGAACAGCTTATCTGTTGATTTGGAAATGTCTCACAAAATTGAGGAGGCTACCCGTGAGCAAAGCTCTAGCTCAGAGTGGCATCTGCTCCGCAAACCCAGGGTTACTGCCTCTAGGTTTAGAGAGATTTGTCACGTCAGAGGTGAGAACTCTGCTAACTCTCTTGCAGAGCGAATACTCAAAGGTACAAGGCAGACTGCAGAAATGAGGAGAGGTGCCGAGATGGAGCCCACAGTAGCAGCTGAATACAGTAGACTGGCAAACGTGAACTACTCCCCTTGTGGCCTTGTCATTCACCCCTCTACACCCTGGCTTGGTGCCTCCCCTGATGGAGTTGTTTTTGACCCAACAGAATATCCCCAATTTGGCCTTGTTGAATTCAAATGTCCCAATGTCCCAAATTATGTCGACTGCAAATATGTGCAGATGGAATGTGGCTCCCCTAAGCTCAAGAAAAGCCATGCCTATTACTGGCAAGTACAGGGTCAACTTCTTGTATCTGGGATGCAGTGGTGTGATTTTGCATTTGCAGCAATCGCTGATCAGGAAGCCCTTATCTACCATCACTGCCATGTTTTCAGTCAACAACGCAGCTATTCCAGATTGTTTGAAAATCTCCTTGTCGCTGACAGAACCATCATACAGACTGGAAACAAATGTCACTGCGCCATGTGGGGCTATGCCAACCAGGGCTTTCATGGTGCAGTGAGATTTGTATGTAGAATACATTTCACTTTGGAGGAGGAGTGAGGATGGTGTTTGACACCTCAGCTCTGTGCAATCCAGGATCACCTGTGTGTCTGGGAAATCTTTGAATGCCTCTGGGAGGTGGGCTTGAACTTCTGCAGGTGTAAGCCAGATGCACTGTGACCCCAATAAAGTTGTAAGAAAACTCGTCCATGTTGCAATGATGCGGCTCACAGTGGACTGGTGTACGTTGAAGCGGTTTGCAAGGTCCCTCTCTTTCAAACCCACCGACAGGAGGCAGAGAAAAAGGAAGAACTCGTCAATTGGCTGAAGCAGCTGTCTCTGGAAGATAAACAAAAAAAGGGTACTATATTAATGTCATGAGTGTAGCACACCATGGGAAAAACATTAAGTTGTTTTAGTTCTCTGATGTATTCAAAAAGGATTGAGTACTATAGCCTTTTAGCCTACACGAAAGCAATGAAATGTTGGAGAAACATTTTCCCTTCAGTTTGTGTTTAGATTGTGTGTTAAAAGAAACGTAGCCTACCGTTGATGGACGTGCCTGTGTAACCACTTCTTCATTCCTCTTGGCAGCTGATATCGCTCTTGTAACACGAACCATTTTATAAATGGAAGGCTCAATCAAAAACCAGAAGGCCATCAGGTGGTTATAGCTCGGGAATCTGTACACAAAAGACACATGTCAGTCATTAATTGACTCGTTAACTGTAACACATGGGCTAATGCTTTCCTCTTGTTTGCTATAATACATTACAATTCAAATAGACTGATTAAGAAGGCACTTGGTGCAGGTATAGTAATATACAGCAGTAACATGTAACAACTACATTAAAGCAGCAGTAATAATAATCTAAAACATACAGGGAACATTTTACACAGAATGACTACTTTTACTCTTCATTCTTAAGTGTGCAACTGGGAGAAACGCAGTGGATATTGACATGTACTTTTACTTTGGTAAAGTTTTGAAGATTTCCACTTGTAGTAAAGTATTATCAGTATGTTGTTAGTATTAGTATGTTTTACTCCACCACATTTAGTTAACCTTCATAGTTTCTAGTTACTTATGAAAACACATGATTTATGATTCTACATGTTCAGTTCGGAGTATTTTCAAACCATAGTATTTGTACTTATACTTCAGTTAAGTTGAGTAGCCTACTTATTCCAACACTGCATGCAAATAGTCAGCAGTCAAACGGCAGGTAAACAGGATTCTTTATAAGCTAACCCATCTCAAAAACTTGGATAGAATTTAGCCAAAACATTACCTGGTATAGAATCGGATGTTGTCGTCGGAGCCAGCAAACCGCTGTAAGCAAAACTCTCGCTGGACTCTTAACTCCTGCAGTTGCTTCTGCAGATCCTCCAATGTTTTGGAGTTGTCTTCTGTAGCTTGAGAGGACATGTCCAGTGAAGCTGGTTCAGGGGTTGAGCAGTAATCATGGTCACGGACATCGATGTGCTCTTCCTGCTCCTCCCGAGAGACTGGTTCAGTGGGCCGCTCCATTCTCTCCCAAACACTAGCCCGCGGTGTTTGAGCAGTGAAGTGATTCCACTCAAACAGAGTTGGGACAGCACCTTTCACAAGCCTCCTACGGCCATCAAGGGTTTTTGGCTCTATTAGTTGATCCGTAGCGAAGTGACGACTGCAGACCTTGGAGTGAGAGGAGATTGTAAAGTTATCGCGTCATATTTTAACCAGCCACTGTCTTCGCAGCTCGAGTTCGGTCGGAAAGCCATGGAAACTTAGGACGCCGTTGAATTTAGCTGACGCCGTACAAAGTGGGACACCGCAGTGCTCGGAGTAGTTCTTTACTTGTCTTTGCAAATGCTCCGTTTTGAAAATCTTCCGTCGACTCATATTTAAACCACAGATTTAAACAGTAAAACATTTGTGGACGCTCAACTACGCAGACCAGAAGCAACCCGGAATCGTCCGAGCAGTATAACGGCTAAGGCAGAAGTACGTCTCAGACCCTAGTGCATGTAGCCTATTCCTGAGGAATCGCATCTTGGCAGGTATATAATACTATTCTGCATAAGCAATGTTTTATTATGGAAATATTTGGCCTGCAGTAAGTCATATTTGAGGCATTTATACAGAAGTTGTATGTGTATAAGTATTTATACTACTATAAAATCAATGAAATTAAAAACGGAAATAAATTAATAATTTCCATCACGTGAATATGAAGGGAAGCTCGATACATTTTTGACCATCATTTTAGACTTCAATCTCCTTCAGTGTCTTTTCTATGAATACCTTGAATCATTCTCTGCAAAGCGGCCATGTACATTTAATCACCTACCAAAGAAGAGTTTTTCCTCACAGGAATTAAGCTCTACCTGCAATATCTGCCCCTCGCTGGGTGTGCCTTAGGAGGCTTCATGCTGCAAATCGTTTCCAAGCTCTTTCTAATCACAGATGTTCGTCAAATGACCTTATCACAGGCTTAAATCAAGATTTCTTAGCAGGTTATGCTGGCTCCCAGGGACCCATGTCTGTTGAAACCTGCACTCAAGACTGAAGTTTGCACTGAAGGAGCCAGGAGTATTACACGTGCTGCTATTTAAACGTTTAAAAACACGACAGGCCCCTGGCCTAGTGCTAGGAGGAATTATTCTAGCAACGTTTCTTTATTGAGCCGTTAGTTCCTCGCAATTATTCTGTTAAGAGTATTATAACTACTAAAGATTTTCCCGTTTCTTTGCTCTGTAGATGACATGGCAGGGAAAGCAGACATCCCATATGCCTTCTGTGGCATATATATTTTAAGGTTTTACAATCAAATGTGCATTTGGTTTCCATAGTAGCCCACGTTTCTTTGACACCTCATCAGAAGCATTATGCTGGATTCTCTGCAACACCTGTAAGCACCCCTTGGTGTCCATCTTTTAACCATTTCCTAGTTGTTAACTTTCCCAGATAACACTTTTCAACAGCTAGAACTACCTCTTTCAGAACAGGAACTGGAAGCCCTTCCACACGTCTAGAATTATCGGTATCATTCTCGATAGTGTGCTAATGCAAGCTTTACTGCCACCAGACAAGCTGTCCGCATCAGAACAGCCATAATTACAATTCATGTTATTTATTTAGCGCCTTTCCAAATGTTCAAAGTGCTCTACGTTATACTACATATTAGACTTGTAATACATTCAATATTGATTACTGCCTTCAATTATGGTCTCCCACTGGTAGTCTCTCTAAAAGAGATGTTTTATATTTATAAGGAACAAGCGCTAGCCTTTCTGTTCAAACCTTAAGGCACCATAGTCTTAGGTCACGTTCACACCTGCTTGGTTAGTACTATTGAATCGGTCCCTGTAGCGTTAACCCCTTTATGCGGTTCGTTGGATTGGTGTGGAAGCAGTCCGATACCTCTACTCCGCCTAAAAGAGGTGGTCTCGGGTCGCTCGCTAGTAAACTCTGGAGAGGTTCATTGCTGGTGTGACGTAGTCCGCATCAAAACATGGAAAACAACTTTTTGCGCGTCATCGCTTGTTTTGCTATCTATGCTGTGTGCAACATCCAGTAACCTATAGGGTCATGCATTCATTCTGGTGACTGCTTACCTCACTGGTCCCCTGTGTACAGAGAAAAGGCAGTACAATCTCATCAGAGCCACCTGTCATCGGTGAAACCTCCTCACTGCATAACGTCTCATTATGTGTTATAATGTTTTTAATGCACGTTGTCTGATTTATAATCCTATGCGCCGGCCGCAGAGTCTGTTGATGTACTCTCAAGATTAACAGCAGTATGAAAATAACCTGCCAATGCTCCATGATGCAGGCTACTGTAGAATTGCTGGGATCTGCATTTTATCCGCTTAATGTCCCGCCAATTGTTGAAAAAGCATCTCCGTACAATGACTTTAGTTTACAGTTCATAGTCTGTTTGAGGTTGCCTGGGTGAACGCAAACCCAACCTTCTGCAAATGAAACGATGTAATACACTTGCGTCTGGTGTAAAGACGCGGACTATTCGGCATGAATGCAATCTTAGAGATGGCTATTGCTTAGATCTTTGGTCCTTAGCCCCTCTGCGACGAGTGGAAGGTTATGTTCATTCTTTTATAATGACCTTGCGGTGTCTTCAGATCCTCTCTAGTTACTTACAGATGCTGCGCCTTCTGCTGGTTCGGGGGATTTCACAATGAGTGGTTTGCCCCACCAGCTTGCCATGCCCTTCGTTCAACCAAATGACTCTGGATCTACACGTCAAGCCCCTCAAGGATTTCCCATATTCTGCCTCCAACCAAGAGCATGATTCAAAGCATACAATTCAGCTTGGTACTTTATCTTCTTCTGTCCCAACCTCCTCTGTGTACTTATGCAATAGATATAATAGTTGTTCATGCATTAATTGTATTTTCATTCGAATCCTGCAATCTTCAAGTGCTAAGTATTATAAGCCATGCTAGAGTTCATTAATTTGCTCCTCAAGGGCCTTAAGAAGGCACGTCCTCCACGCAATGATAAAGACTGCCTCTTAACTTTGCACCCGTGCAAAAGTTAATGTATAAGTTCAGGCAAAGGGGTTTCACTATACTTTGATAAACGTCAGATGCAGATATTGCAGCTTTCTATTGGTTTCTCAGGTGGCGAATATACACAGACCTCTCACCTTTTAATCCTCAGCATAATCTCTCCCTTACTGAATTAACTTTGGAGATCAAATATACACACTTTTTTGAAACATTCAATGTCTGACAGTTCTGTTTTGGGAGTCAAGGAACCCCGAATAATCATTGCTAAAACTAACACTGTTTTCTTTGTCCTTTATCTTCCATGCTGAACTTCTCGCATCATTGCCCTCTGACACATGGGTCGGCATCCATGTTTATTCGATGGCTGCAAACCCAACGACGAGGGTTCTCCTCCAAGCTGCGTGATCTCTGCCTAAGCTGCGACCTGCCCCCAGATCGCTATTCCCACTGTTTAAGAATCTGCACAGCCACAACCGCAGCTCTATATCCGCCTACCTCAACCCTGATTATCCTGGGCCGTCGGTCATCTTCTGCCCACCAGCGCTATATCATGCCTCACATGAATGAGATCCTTGCAGCACAAACAACCATGAGCTCTTGCACTACTCGATGATGAGTAACGTTCAAAGATGTATATCTGTAGAATTCTGTTATTGCATACATTACATTACATTACATTGTATTTAGCTGACGCTTTTATCCAAAGCGACTTACAATAAGTACATTCGACCAGGAAGACACAACCTTGAAGAAAACAGAATCATATAAGTACATCAGGTTTCATAGAGCCACACATTTCAAGTGCTACTCAACTGGCTTTTGATAAGCCAGTCCTTTATTAGTATATAAGTGCTTTGTTAATAATTATATCGCTCGAGGTGGAGTCGAAAGAGATGAGTTTTCAGTCTGCGCCGGAAGGTGTGTAAGCTTTCTGCTGTCCTGATGTCAATGGGGAGCTCATTCCACCATTTTGGAGCCAGGATAGCAAACCCACGTGTTTTTGCTGATGGGAACTTGGGTCCCCCTCGCAGCGAGGGTGCAGCGAGTCGTTTGGCTGATGCAGAGCGTAGTGCACGCGCTGGGGTATACAGTTTAACCATGTCCTGGATGTACGAAGGGCCAGATCCATTCACAGCATGGTAAGCAAGTACCAGTGTCTTGAAGTGGATTCTAGCAGTTACCGGAAGCCAGTGAAGGGAGCGGAGGAGCGGAATGGTGTGTGAAAATGTAGGAAGGTTGAAGACCAAACGAGCCGCTGCATTCTGGGTGAGCTGCAGAGGTCGGATGGCACATGCAGGTAGACCAGCCAGGAGGGAGTTGCAGTAGTCTAGGCGTGAGATGACGAGAGCCTGGACCAGAACCTGCGTCGCTTTCTGTGTCAGCTGGGGACGTATCTTCCTGATGTTGTAAAGCGTGTATCTGCAGCAACGGGTTGTAGCAGCGATGTTTGCAGTGAAGGACAGGTTGTTATCTAGGATCACACCCAGATTCCTTGCAGTCTGAGTCGGGGAAACAACAGGTGCCGATGTTGATAGTCAGGTCAAGAGTGGGACAATCTTTTCCCGGAAGGAAAAGCAGTTCAGTCTTGTTGAGCTTGAGGTGATGAGCAGACATCCACTGAGAGATGTCAGCTAGACAAGCAGAGATGCGTGCGACGACCTGGGTCTCTGAGCGGGGAAAGGACAGAATTAATTGGGTGTCGTCAGCAGTGGTATGAAAAACCATGCGGGCTAATGACTGATCCGAGCGAGTTTGTGTACAGGGAGAAGAGGAGGGGACCAAGAACAGAGCCCTGAGGGACCCCTGTAGTTAATTGACAAGGGTCGGACTCAGACCCTCTCGAAGCTACCCTGTAGGTACGGTCTTTGAGGTATGAGGTGAGGAGGGAAAGTGCTGAGCCTGAAACCCCACGTTTTTGGAGAGTGCGAAGGAGGATCTGATGGTTCACCGCATACCAGGTGGTTGCTGGGTTAGATTATATTTATTTCATTATAGTATATTCCCCTCATAGCTGCATGTTTGGGGGGGGGGGGGGGAAGCTCATTGTCGCTGCCTTAAAGACCTAGACACAGCAGTCTTGATGGGTAGTGTATTCCCCTCAAAGCCGCGGTGCTGGGGGGGGGGTCGGCACTGGTCACTTCCAGGCCTACACATAGCAGTCTCTCTAGGTAGTATATTCCCCTCAAAGCCGCGGTGCTTAAGGGGGATGGATTTT